AAACCTAAATAAAGAATTTGGAAAAAAAAAGCAGCTGTTGCAGCAATATGCCCATCAATCTGGAGCGGTATTTGCCACAAATGGCACAAGGTGTTGTTCAACCCACCAACTTTTAACATACTGCCATGAACTCGCCCCCTGTGGGGATGTCATCACACAGTCACATACCAATCCCAAATTCCAACCACCACCACTAGACGGGTACCCAATTCCCCCCTTTATCCTTGTCCTTGTATTCTTGAAAACCTAAATAAAGAACTTGCAAAAAAAAAAAGCAGCTATTGCAGCAATATCCCCATCAGTCCGGAGCAGTACTTGCCACAAATGGCACAAGGTGTCATTCAACCCACTAACTTTGAACAGGCGATCATAAACTCGCCCCCTGTGGGAATGTCATCACACAGTTACATACCAGTCCCAAATTCCAACCACCACCACTAGACGAGAAAAATAACCCGACAAACCAAAAGAATTGGAGTTGGGGGAGGGATGTACTTTTTTCGAGGTGGCAGTAGGGAAGGTGGGATAGGATTACTGCAATCCTAGATTTCATCTTTAAATCATGTGGCAGTCTCATATATTCAGTAGTGGTGACATTTAATTTTTCCGTTGAAGCTCCCAGGTCTACCAGCTACTGGGACCATCATACGGACTTTTTTATTTTTATTTTTTTTAATAAAGTATTAATAGGGACAGAAGAGGTGAGCTGAAAAAAACCTAAATTGAGCAGGCACGCGCTATGCAGAGAGATCTCACCACTGGAGTCCTCATGCCTACAGATTTTACTTCTACTTAAATACAAGGGTTTTCCTGCATTAAAATGCATTTTAGAGACATTGTCCTTTCCTGCGTGGCTGGTTCCCATCTATGCACTTCAGTTTAGTTTGTTTTCAAAGACCCATTCACATCTATGGAAGTGCACTACCAGGTGTGCTGCAACACTCCCTCACTCATAGGTTTGAATAGATTTATAATATGGTAAACATCCTGCCTCAGTACATATATTAAAAATGTCCTGTTACTACCAGAAAAGGATTTCCTGTGCCCCTCTCTGAATACGTACTATACCTGTGAGATCCTTATGGAAGCTGGGAATCACTGTAGTAGGCAATGGGAACTACGGTGATCCTCCACTAGCTGCCCGGTCCAGTGCCGATCGGCTACTCTGCTGCATTGTGAACACTGGAGGTTGATCACTTGGCATGGGTACCATTCAGGGAATGTTGTGCATTTTCTCAATGAATGAAAAGCATTCTCTGATTGGACTTGGTGGAGCGGCAGGGGGCAGTGAAGCTGCAATTTCCACCTCTTCTAATCAGGGAATGCTTTGAAAAAATTCAAAGTTTTCTCTGAATGATGCCCATACCAAGAAAGCGTCCTCCTGTGTTCAGAATGCTTCCGGGTAGCCACCCAGCATGGGACCCTAGTGGAAATCACTGTAGTAGTGAAGCCTATGATGATTTCCAGCTTCTAGAGGGATCCAATAGGTATAGTATAGAGTTACATTCGTGCAAGTTGGTTAGTAAAGATTGCCATTCCTAAATCAACTTTAAAGAGGTCCTAAAGCCAAATGTTATGTGATCTTAATGCATTCCCTGCATCAAGCTAAAAAACATTTTACTTTGTGCTGACCTCCATAATAACTTATACGATTCTTCAATCGATTCTGTGCACAGCTGCAGCTCTTCTCTCCCCTCTCTTCCTCTTCACACAGGGACTTGGGCAGCATCAGGTGCCATTGGCTGCTATCAATCAAATTGGGGCTTGACAAATTTGCTTCAAATCTAGGAGCCAGCTAAAAAAGTTAGGAGCCAGTTTTTTTTTTGGGGGGTTTTTTAGTGCGTAGCATGGGATGTCAGCTGCCGGAGTAAGGCAACGTTTAGGGGGCCAAGCGTCACGTGCTGCAATTTGCCGTATGACAACCGGCATAATGCAATTCAAATGCGTTCCATAGGGCTGAAAAGAGGTGTTTTGTGGGTGATGGGGGGTGTGTTGTGTCTGAATATTGCATTGACTCCAATTGAGGTGTTTCTGTTGTGAAATGCTTGAGGCCATTGCCGGGAAAGTGCAAGAATGTTTCCCTTAGCCCATCGGTGTCAGGTGCAGACAGCCACACGCTTGTACTGATGATGATTTGTGAGCCATATTGGTGCTAATAAAGGAAGATTAATTGCCTGTCAAGTAATGAAATAAAAATGAGAACATGCTGAGTTGCACACACAAAGCAAGCTGGGTGTTCTCCCATTCCTGGGCTGATCCTAAGCACAGCACTGTGTGGTTTTACAAGCCGGTACTCTTGCACATTGTCCTGTCTTTCTGCTTTTGTCACTCGCCTGTCTCTCAACTTCATCCTGAAAGGCAGGTACTTTTAGAAGAAAAATAGAATGGCCTAGATCTAAAGCCCAAATGTTTTATTCATTTTTGAATAGGAAATTGTTAAAAGCCTGTTCAATATTTTTCCAGTCTGTGTCCCACAATGAGATTTCCTTTCACTTCCTGTTGTCTGAAAGACAAGAAGTGGGAGGAAATCTTACCAAGGTAAAATAAATTCCCTCCAAAGCAAGCCATAGACGAAGCAGTTTTGTTTCCTGCAACCAAGGGTTGCAGGAAAGAAAATTGCTCAACTGTGTTGATGGGGGAATCCCTCCCGCAGCGCTATCATGTTCTTCCGACGGGGAGCCTTCCCTGCCAGCAGAACACGATTACTACTGGTGACTATAGTCTCTGGCAGTAATCGCATGCATAAAACCCAACAGGCTGGTTGTGTTGATTAATGAAGCTACTTCAGTGCAACCAGCCTGCCCATAGATGGATCGAATCTCCGCTGTTCCCTGCTAAAAGTGGCCGAGAATCGATCCATCTAACAGACACTTCTTTGGAAGATTTCCCTTCTATTGTTCTGCTGACAACTCAAAATTTGGATTTTCCGTAGGGGTTCACTGATACCATTTTTTGATTCGCGGGTACGAGTACCGATACTTTGCGATATGCTTTTACATCAATACAAAATGTATAGATGCAAATTTCACCGCAAAGAACAGCATGCAAATTGCACAGGAATGCTATTCCTGTCCAGATCGCATGCGGTTTCCCCACTGCTTCTGTGTAAACCCAGACTTGTTATAGCCTGAGTTCACACAGGAGCGGTGCAGGAAACCTCCCTGCAACAATCCCCATGCTGAGCGGAGAGTGGGAGAGAAGGACGTGTGGGGATGTATAGCTTGGTGTTGGCCATAGGAAGATGGAGGCAGATGTTCCGGATTCCCAGCTGTAGGAGAAGAGAGAAAGCTGCAGCAATTCTCCAGATTCTCAGCTGTAGGAGAGGAGAGAAAGGCATAGGGATTTAAAATCCCCACAGCTTTTTCTCCTCTCCTTGCAGGGATGACAGTACAGGCTAAACAACTTTTGATTAGTCAGCATCATCTCGGTGCTGACCAGTCAGAAGCTGTCTAGCCCGTACTGTCATCTTTGCATGGAGAGGAAAAAAAGCCACAGGGATTTCAAATCCCTACGCCTTTCTCTCCCCTCCTACAGCTGAGAATCTGGAGCATTGCTGCAGCTTTCTCTCTTCTCCTACAGCTGGGAATCCGGAGCATCTGCCTCCATCCTCCACCTGTTAGCCAATACCAGTGTATACATCCCCACGACAAGCCTGGGTTCACACAGGAGCCGTGGGAAAACCAAATGCGATTTGGACAGGTATAGCATTCCTGTTCAAATTGCATGATATTCTTTGAGGTGCAATTTGCGTTCATACATTTTGTATTGATGCAAATCGCACAGCATAGTTATCGGTTTGGGTATCCGGAGCATTTTCATGAGTACTCTTTTTTTTTTTTTGGCACCAGTACCAGTATTGGTGTATCCCTAATTTTCCCTTTTCTTTTAGTCCCATAGACATTAGTCAACTGGTCAAATAGAAGGAGTTTTTCCAGTGGTACTGTCTCCTCTGGATTCTTGAAGCTGGCCCACAGTGATACACCAACAATTCCGCACTTTGCCTGCTGTGTTCATTTGTAGCCTCCTGAGATATGTGATGGGGATATCAGAGGAGCAGGGCACATCATTCTGATTGTGGGGGGCCATAGGAAATAGATTTTTTTTTTATTCTTTAAAATGTGAAAAGAAAGATATATTGCAGGGTGGGGCTGGGTGGATGGAGAACAAGTAAAATTCTGGAGTCCAGCTTTAAACGTTACGAATGTGAAAACATGACGGTGTATTCTGTCTAATATAATCTTCTCCTAAAAGTGCCATCTACTGGTGTAAAGTTTTTTGTTTTTTTTTCTTGATTTGGTAAAAAAAAAAATGACTACTGTATATTATTGCCACTAGATGGTACTTATGATCAAAGGAGATATTATTGCCACTAGATGGTACTTATGATCAAAGGAGATAATAATACACAGAATACGATATGTTTTGTTGGAGCTGAATGGCTGTTTGTCAAATTAGTTCAGCAAACTTATACATAGACCCCTGTGTATTAAAACCATGGGTGTTATGTGCAAGTATTCCTTTGTATCTAATACATATTTTGTAAGCAGTGCTGGCTTTTTCCTTTTTATGTTGATTTATATGATGCCACCGTTGGCCATATACCTTTCTATACTTACTGTGGGCAACAGTGCTGGACAGGATATTGAATGTTCGCAATGAAAAGCTGGCAGGGGTTCTAACCTCTAACCACTCTTTCTAAAACTAAAAAAGTGTGTTGACCTTAATTACACTTGTAAGTGTACGTCAACCTTAACAATAACTTCTGCTATTCTCTCCCCTCTGGTCTGATAAAAAAAAAAAAAACACACAATGCAGAACTGATGGATGAATAGCCAGTTTTTATATCAGTACTAAGTTTTGGGGTTCTTTGCTTCATTTACTGTATAACATAAACATAGACTTTATAATCCAAGATGTACTGTGAAACTTGTGTTGTGTTAGCCCTGTCCTCTTCCCCGCTATCCTTTCATCCAGAGTGTGCTTTTACCTCTCTCCCGCAGACCGAGGATCTCATTAAAGCTCTGCAGGACCTGGAGAATGCCGCCTCTGGAGATGCAGCAGTAAGGCAGAAAATTGCCTCCCTTCCACAGGAGGTTCAGGATGTGTCTTTACTGGAGAAGATTACAGGTCTGCTCTCTTTTCTCCCTCTATGTGACTTTAGAAACTTAAGATCTTGTTGAAGGATGTGCTGTTGGCAATCAGGCACCATGTTGTAAATATGGGCAGCCGAATTCTAAATCTTATGATCTTGCTTTTATAGAAGTCTCAAACGGCTTATTTGTTGAAAACAACTTGTTTTTTGGGAGGTTTTTTTGAGTGTTTCTGCCACTTATTTTTTCCTTTAAGATATCTGTTGCTAAGTCCATCTTTTTTACCACGATTCATGTTCCAGCCATATTTAGGGTGAAAAAAGAAACATGGTCACCGTCCGCAACCCCCATCTCCAACTCCAACCCCCTACCCCTTACAAAATCTGGGGTTCTTTTCCCTGCAGGCTACTTTTTTTTTCTTTTTTTTTTTTTTTTTTTTTTTTGCACAGCCGCATCATTAATTAGCAGGAATCTGTGAATGAGGAAAAAAAAGGCTAAAAGTCCCATGTGACACCATGGCAGGAAGACTTGTAGCTTTCAGTAGACCACAGGACATCACCATGCTTGTAGTCTATTGATTTCTTCTTCCAGCCCCATAATTGAAGGTCTGTACCTCAGTTCTGATCCTTGGATGGGGTGAGGTTTTAAGCATGACATGTCAGCCCTGCTTCTCCACCTCATCCAATCAGAAAATGCTCTACATTCATTCAGAAAATGCAACGCATTCTCTGAATGGTGCTGGTTCCAAGCTATCATTTTTCTGTGTTCTGAATACAGTAGGGCAGCCACTCACATGGGGCCCTGAAGCAAGCAGAGAGTAGCATTGTCTACTCCATTGATTTCCATCTTCCAGGGGCATTGGTCAGGTATGGACCTATGTATCTATGTAAAAAAAATATCCAGACCTGAAATTCATTGTTTAAAGCTGACCTTCACCGGAAAGGGACGTTCCACTGTTCCTTCTCCTCCGCACGATTGAACTAATTTTTTTTTGGGGGGGGAGGGTGTCACGGTTCACCCACACGCACACGCCCACAGCGACTAGCTAACCGAGGCGCGCACGTGCGGCCGTGACTTGGGGTAAGAGGGAATAAGGGGGACTTAACTTTGAATATATAAATTCAAATTTATGGGAATATGGACGTGGGCTGGACATGAGTTCTTGGCCAATTGACTCTGGGGGGTGTTCCTGTACCCGCCCACAGGATGTTCTGGGTGCTGAAATGCCCAAAGTCGATTGTACCAGGACCAGTTTGAATCACCAAGTCGGGGATTGAATTTCCAACATTAGCGCATCAGTCCGATCACGACCATACCAATCACTGTTCAGCTATCGCAATCCAGCACCACATAACCATTTCCTGCATTTTTCTGGCATTCTACCTAGTCCACAAATACGGTTTTTACATGCACAAATACGGTTTTTACATGCCAATGTAGCCTACAGAGTGCCCAATCAGAAGGAAGTATTTTCATCTCTCTGCAACTAATATTTTGGCTTTTATGAGAGATGAAATCTACTCCTTTGATCTGTGTATTTTGTCAGGGCTCCCCAGACAGATCGGAGCCCCCTGGTGTCATGAAGCCAAAACGTCTGCGTTCCTCTTTTGAACTTCAGGAAGGTGGCAAAGTATAATTATAGACAAATCTTATTGGCACCCAGGTGTCACTTCCAGAGGAAGCTCTGTCCCTTCAGATGCTAATTGGTGACCATCTGTCTCTGAATACCTATGACTGAATATTTCTTTAATGACAAGGAATGAACTAAATTTACGATTACATATTGCTACAGGTCACATCTTATCTACTCAAATCTGTACATTTATGTCACAGGGACGTTCCACTGTTCCTTCTCTTCCGCACGATTGAAATTATTTTTTTTTTTGGGGGGGGGGGGGGTTGGGAGTGGGTACCTGCTTTTGACAGGTACCCATTCCCCTTCCCCTGGCTGTGAAGCCGCAAGGAGTCACAACCAGCTGCCCACAGTTAACATACTGGGGACCCAAAGACTTTTAATTTTTGCAGAATTTACTGACACTCCTTTTTAATGTTTATATTACCTTTGTAAAAATGTCATAGGTATTCAGGAGCACTCATCCTTTTAACTCTGCAACATCTACCAGAAGCTAAGTGGACTAATCCTTTAATAGTATTTATTCTTCATTGTGCATCTCTGTGCTTGCAGAGCCTCCTAACTTACCCATTGCTGCCAGAGCAGCAGGTTCAGATTTTGCTTTTTGCCATGCAGGAATTTTGCTCCAGCCAAATATTTAATAACTCGGTAAAGGGTTTCTGAAAGTATTCAGCAATGCCAAAATTTGCATTCACATTGCATTATTTTATCATTAATTCCAATATTAAACATTTCTGGGCAGGATCAGTCTTATTTCGACAAGCCATGTAGATCTGCAGCCCCATTCTCAATAGGATTAAATTGGCTGCTGATTGCTGACAATGTAGTAAGTGTTTGATAACTGAAACCTCCCGTTGCTTAGACTTGTTGGACATCAAAATCAAGGAGCATGCTCTTAAATTCCTGTAACCTTTGTGTTCTATTTTTTTAGATAAAGAAGCAGCAGAGCGACTTTCTAAGACAGTAGATGAGGCATGTCTGCTGCTGGCAGAGTATAATGGACGGCTAGCGGCAGAACTAGATGATCGCCGGCAGCTGGCAAAGATGCTAATGGAGTACACACAGACCCAAAAGGAAACTTTGAGCAATAAGGAGAAAAAGCTGGAGGTAAGATCACATGTCTACAGATGTGCATGAGTCAGAAATGAATACTTGATGGTTTCTATGTCTAGAAAGCCCTGCCTATTACGGATGACAACCTAGAGTTATCAGCATTCTAATTGTTTGATCTGAAATCCGGGATAAAAAGTATTGTGTAAATACAAGAAGCGTATGTATTCTTTCTTGAATTTTGATGTCCTTTGTGTATTTTTTCCAGATCTATGCAATTGTCCAGCTTCAACCAAGTCCTGGACTTTGCCTCTGTTCACAAGTTTCCAGAACTTTAAAGGATAAGTTCATCTTTCGTAACATGTTACAACCATATTCAGGTGTAACATGTTACAAAAGAACCGGCCCCCACTCTCCACCTATCCCTCATTGTGACAGCTAGCGGGGGATCTTCTTCACCTTCTAGCTGTAAAATTTTGAAAAAACATGGCTGTTCAGGGCTCCGCCCCTCATTCATTGTTTTGTGAAAGGGGAAAAATACAGTTCTGACAGCCTTTGCGGCTGTTGGGTTTTAGTTGTCAATGAACTGCCATGGTACTGTTGAGTACTCCGGTAGTTCATTGATTCTTCCTGTCAGTTTGTATCTGCACGCTTGTACGAGGTACGAGCACACAAATACACTTACAGGTCTGCAGGAGCTCTGCATGGCACCAGCGATCTGCTGATCACTGGTGAAATGCTTTACAGGCTTCCAACACAAAAAATAGTAAATGCACATGAGTTTAACCTGCATTTTTTAAAATCTGTACTAGCCCTTAGGCAGCCCATACATTATTCTTTTTTCTTTTTTTTTTTTTCTTTCAACCAGCAGGTTGAAGAAAAAAGATAATCTCGTTCCCCCCCATCCACATGTTAACGATGGATGGGGTAATCCTGCTGAGTTATTGTCAGCAGTGAGACTTCCCCACCGTCAGAATACCATAATACCACTGATCAATACTGATGACTATACAGTGCCTTGTCATGTTACAACCAAAAACATAAATGTATTTGATTGGGATTTTATGTGATAGGCCAACACAAAGTGGCACATAATTGTGAAGTGGAAGGAAAGTGATAAATGGTTTACAAATTTTTTTTACTAATAAATATCTGAAAAGTGTGACGTACATTTGTATTCAACCCCCTTTACTCTGATATCCCTAACTAAAATCTAGTGGAACCAATTGCCTTCAGAAGTCATCTGATTAGTAAATAGAGTCCACATGTGTGTAATTTAATCTCAGTATAAATACAGCTGTTCTGTGAAGCCCTCAGAGGTTTGTTAGGGAACAAACAGCATCATGAAGGCCAAAGAACACACCAGCAGGTCAGGGATAAAGTTGTGGAAATGTTTACAGCAGAGTTAGGTTATAAAAAAAAAAAATCCCATGCTTTCAACATCTCACTTCAATCCATCATCCGAAAATGAAAAGCATATGACACAACTGCAAACCTACCAAGACATGGCCGTCCACCTAAACTGACAGGCCGGCCTTGAACAGCATTAATCAGAGAAGCAGCCAAGAGGACCAGTGTAACTCTGGAGGAACTGCAGAGATCCACAGCTCAGGTGGGAGAATCTGTCCACAGGACAGCTATTGTTCGAGCACTCCACAAATCTGGCCTTTATGGAAGAGTAGCAAAAAGAGAGTCATTGTTGAAAGAAAGCCATAAGAAAGCACAACGCTATGTGTGGTGGAAAACTAACACTGCACATCACCCTGAACATACCATCCCCACCGTGAAATATGGTGGTGGCAGCATCATGTTGTGGTGATGCTTTTCTTCAGCGGGGACAGGGAAGCTGGTCAGAGTTGATGGGAAGATAGATGGAGCCAAATACAGGGCAATCTTAGAAGGAAACCTGTTAGAGTCTGCAAAAGACTTGAGACTGGGGTGGAGGTTCGCCTTCCAGCAGGACAACAACCCTAAACATACAGCCAGAGCTACAATGGAATGCTTTAGAGCAAAGCATATTCATGTGTTAGAATGACCCAGTCAAAGTCCAGACCTAAATCCAATTAAGATCTGCGGCAAGACTTGAAAATTGCTGTTTCAGACGCTCTCCATCCAATCTGACAGAGCTTGAGCTATTTGCAAAGAAGAATGGGCACAAATTTCACCCTCTAGATATGCAGAGCGGCTAGAGACATCCCCAAAAAGACTTGCAGCTGGAATCGCAGCGAAAGGTGGTTCTACAAAGTATTCACTCCGGAGTGAATACAAATACGTGCCACACTTTTCAGATATTTATTTGTAAAAAATAATTTATCATTTTCCTTCCACTTCACAATTATGTGCTGCTTTGTGTTGGTTAATCACATAAAATCCCAATAAAAAACATTTAAGGTTTTGGTTGTAACATGACAAAGTGTGGAAAATTTCAAGGGGTATGAATACTTTTTCAAAGCTCTTTAGCCAGCAGCACTGATTAATTGGGAAAAATCCAAGAGACTGTTTACATAGACGTCATTCAGTAGTTGGGGTTCTGTACAACCACTCTCCCCATACAGTCATCCAGCAGGGACCAGCCAAATTTCGATCCATGTATAGGCTGGCCTTAGTAAAGCAAATAGATGAGAGAAAAATAAAACTGTTGCCCACAGCAACTATTGCGTTTCCGACTTTCATTTTCTTGACTACTCTGAATGAAAGACCATTATAATTTTATTTACATTTTGATGCCCCCTGCTTTGGGACCACAGAGGAGCATAGACACGGGAAGTGTTTTATCGCTTTGTGTCCAAATCCACAAGGTGAGACTGGCGGAAAGCGATGGTCAAAGTGATTAACTGCAGAAAAGTTTGGCTACTAGGGACCTGTTTATCAAGCTGGAGAAAATTCCTCTTGGAGTGGTCTCTCTGCAGAATGCTGACACACCACCTTCTGATTCAGAGCTAGATCTGTCTGATCAGCAAACATCTGCAGGAATCTGCAACGTGAATAAAACTCATTGCAGTGCACATGAAAACTGATGTCTCTGCAAGTGAAATCTGCGTCAGTTTTCATCAGTTTTTCTGCACGTATGTTGCCTGAGGCCCAACTTTTTTTTTTTTTTTTTTCAGCTAGAATAAACAGGGAGTTCAATTGGACTTTAGTTTATCTCTGTTAAAGCTGTTCTTGTTATTCCGTGACCTCCCATGCACCCTTATCAGTTTTTACTCTGGTACAGTTCCCGAAAAAAAAAATGCTGAATAAAGCATGAATCATTATATAAAACCATGTAACTGTCATCCTGTACACAGCAGATAAGTGTTAGTGCCGCACAAGTTCTTCAAAAGATCTTCCTGCTTTTGAAAATGGGAGTAAAAGGGGTGAGAGGTTATAGATGACATCTGCAAATTAATTAAATCAAATTTCTTAAGTTCTTGTTTGCACTGTGCCTCGTTATTGCCTTCACCTTCAACCTCTGAGTGGTGATTGGGTGCAAATGTGCTTAATGAGAACGAGGCTTTCCCAGGGTTTGCATAATTAAATAGTATATTAAAGGGAAAGCTCAAGGCAGTCATCTATACTGCTGAAATGCAGAGTATGTGAATACCTACCTGGATTTAAACTCAACCCTAGGCAGATATAAAGAATACAAATGAAAGCAGCTCTGTAATCATGAACACATTATTAAAGTAGATCTGTATTCATGTCTGCTCCAGCAATGTGACATTTGCAAGCTTCCTTGCAGGCATGACCTCTTTGTGCTGGCTTTATCCAGGTGTGGGATCTTCAGCCATCTTGAATTACCAGACCAACATGATGTAACTCCCATGCATGCACACGGCAGTTTATTCCTTCCCACAGATGCCGAAATTGTGCATTCAGCCAATCGGACCAAAAAAGAGAGTGGTCGCCCCTTGTAATGACCACAGCGGGTATGCAAACTCCAGAAATGAAAGAGTAAATATCTTGCTTTTAAAATTCCAGAGAGATGTAAGGAAGTGTCACGTGGTTTAACTCTATGGTATCTACGAAAAACGGAAATGTCAGTTTTGGAAGGACTTACCCCTGAAAATAAAGACATGGGGTTTCTAGGCTTGGAAACTGCAGAAGGAATAAAAGAAGAGCGCTCTGGCCCAGCGCATTATCCCAGATAACGCTTTATTACAACGTAGATTAAATAGTACTCAAGAACAAGTGATGATAGTTTGTGGAGAAATAAACTTTGTGACTGTCAATTTCTATGCAAAGAGCCAAAGGACCTGACATCAATGAAGTGCCATCCAGGGCCAAATGCGTTGACGCGTTTCGAGGGGAAACCCTCTTCCTCAGAGCCAAGGGAACTTATTCCCCCTCTCTCAATATATCACTCAAAGTATTAGGAAGATGAACCATAGCTCCTCTCTCCTGCAGGGGATGAGGTCACTGTGCATACATCACACAACGACAATAATGATGATAATAATAATAGTAAGCAGTAAGAAAAAGCAATAGACAAATCAACCTTACAAATGTGTATGTATATGCATACCGGATACCTCCAATAAGGGGAGCTAAAGCATGGTGTCCCTGTAGTCTCATGGTGTACACATCTCTGGCTCTTCTTTGTATGGTCTGGAGGACCGGGTGTGATGTCATGCGATGCCGGAAGTGCTTGTTGGAACGCACTTCCGGTCCCAACTTCCTGGTGGATGATGGCATGCGGTCCACACTGGCCTGCAGGTTCCCTGGGGGCTCACAGGCTTCCCATATTCCATCAGTTGTACATATCATTCTTCCAGTGTCCATCGCGGCTTGCAGGGCGAATAGCACCAGCTCATTATGCACCTGAACAGGTAGTCTGTGTATATTTACTGTGCATCCGTTCACTTAGATATTCTGTCCTCTAGCACCAACACTAGGACATCTACCATACATCAATCCATTTACATGCTCTGTCTTTAGGCAGTAATTCTCTGTCAGTTGTATATTCATGCCTCTGGTTTTTTGGTCTTTCTAAAATGTGACAATTACCCCCAATATAAGTGGAATTGGATTTATATCTCTAGCTATATTCATCAAGGCTATTACCCTTGTGTTCTTCG